TTAAAAACTGCTACAGCCAAAACCGCACATAGTTTCGGTGAGACAAAGCAAATGATGTCCGCTGATACAGCAAACACAATCAACAAGCTATATTCCCACGCAGCTATTTATGCATAGTGAGACATGTTCCCCCTCCTTGACTCCACTTATACGAAGAGGCTGAAAAAAACCTTTGTCCCTAGGTCGACAATTGCAGAATTTTGTTGCGGTACAGGAAAGCCATGGAACATCGAAATACGACGAAGCTACGTTGCCGCGACATCTACAAAAATGCCGAGAAGATGCTCACCCTATTTCATGCGCATAAACATTTGAGACTGGAAGGCGTGTATTCATCTGCATATCACAATCCAGGTTCCCGATCTTCAGCAGATAAGCGTAGGTAAGAATGTGCAGGCGCATAAGCAACAGCTATGAGGAAAAAAGCAGTCTAGGACCACTGGTAGGACTGAGATACTGCACAATGATCGCTCGGATGGTTAAGAAAATTAGCAAATGTAGAAAAATATACAATTTAGGATGAGCGGAAACAAACCATGGGCAGGAGATCGATCCTTGGAATCACGTTTGAAAAAGTTCCAGAAGAATCCCCGATCCTCTTCCCTGCTTCTTTTTGAACGTGATCGTTCTTCAGCTGCTGAGCTGGACCTGCAACAGGGAATCGAGTTTTGTTCGCAACGAAAAGGTTTCATACGGTAATGCCGCAACAGTAACAGATGATTTCTTTCCTAAACCAAATTCTCACGCTCCGCTGAAAAGAGAGCAGCTACCGTTCACTAATTGCTCAAGGCAGAATGCATCTCTCTTCACAACTACCAAAACACAAATTCGGACGAAAGAAAAGCTAATTTGCCAGAACCAAAGCGAGTTCCGTTTCAGCCTGAATGATGCGCAGCCAGTCTGACACTGTAGCCTGGAACAACTTTCGACATCGGGACGCTATCCTTGCATCCTTTTACTTTCACCTCTTGTTTTCCCAAGCACTTTCAAGAAACCAGCTACTTCCATGTTTTGCAAAACGAAGTTCCTCACAACACACCAACAGTTTCCCTTTATATTCAGGAGATCGCAAAGGGTTTTATTCCATATTTTCAAATTTTTTTTTGTCTCCTTCTTACTCTATCTTTTCTTTTCACTTATCCTTCCAGCAAATTAGCTACATGTCCTTTCAATACGTGGCGGGTAGGAGGCTGTACTGACGATTCCCACTCCTATCCGCATGCATAGTCCGGTCTGTGTTTA